TAATTATTGTCAAACTTTGAACAATTTTATCGTTTATCGCAATAATTTCTGAGACAATTAATCGCCCAACAAAATGATCGTGACAGGCCTAACGAAGCACTTCTGTTACTTGTCACTTGTCTCTTATCCTCCATTTGATTTGTTAATTATACTGCAGCTTTGGAAACACCCATATGTCAGAACTTGTGGTTCAGTAATGTGCCATGGCTTTAGATAGCACTACGTTGTATGGTGTTGATAAAATGTTTTTTAAAAAGTCTGCCAACCATCCACACACACTAGGATTTAAATAAAACAAGTAAAAGAACACCTTTCTGTTGGTCTCTGCAGCTCAGACGTGCTTCACAGTAGAAACATCATCAAAGAGCTCACGGGTCACAGAGTCACATGAATTATGAAGACTTTACCACAGAATCTGCAACTCTTCTTATTTCCACAAACATTACATTTCTTCTACAGTTAAACATCAAATCATGGGCAGTGATGTCTTCTTTACCCCAGTCTGTCTCTCACTATTGTAGGACTTTGTTTTCTTAAAGACCCTGAGAGCGCAGAACGTGCGTTGTCAAACTCTCATTGCCTTCCAGTGGATCTGAACTGAGAACTTTCAGAACTGGAAGTGAAGGGTCGTGTTGGTATAACTGCGCATTTATTCACACAACTGTATTTCAATAAAGATGTTTGGGGCAAGTACTGTGAATAAGATGACGACTATGACTTATTCAGGTGCACGTTTAATTGGCATTTCAAAAAAAGAAGCAAATGCTATGTAAACACTTTACATGAAATAAAGCTTAGCTGATTGTGAATAACTTGCACAAATATAAAGATCTGCCTGTTTGTTTCAATTCTGTGGTGATTGTGTACGACTGCAGAGGAAAGTGACGAGGTGTCTGTATGGCAAGCAGTTGTGTCATACAACAAATGCTTCGGGGCAAGTCATTTGTGTATTTATTCATTGTGGTATAAAGTATTTTATCAATGAGTTTTACTTTCCATAAGAAGTCAAATTAGACTTTTCCAATTCTTTTCATTCAACCTTTATTTAGACAAGTTAATCCCACTGAGCCTCGGTGAAATGGTGAAATTACCCGATGACAAGTTTCACCTCGCTGCTATCTTTAATCTTTGTCTCTGCATTTTTCTTTCTTGTATCAAATCATGACCCTCACACTGAGGTCCGTTACACACCTACTTACAACGCTGCATTTATGTGTGCCATATTAAGAGTTCTGTCAGGGAGTGAGAGACAGAGTGTGTGGTTACTATAGTAGCTATAATTAGCCACTGGCAGCAGCTTTGATCTTGGTTCTCTTCACACGTCTTATACAGTTTATCCATCAAAATGTTGGATTATTGCAGAAAGACGTCTTAAGTTATTATTGGGCTTTAAGTTGATGATGTCAGAAGATGCTTTGGCTTCTTTTGAAAATCCTTCAATAAATGTGGTGTTCTCATGACCTGATGATGTCATGATTTTCTGACAGCTGTCCGTGACGTTGAAGTGAAAACAGGCAGCGTCTCGTCAGCCTGCTGTTTGTTGTGTTTTTCGTCAGAGTCAGAGTTTCTTTATTGTCATTCGCACCACATGTGGTACACATGGTGGAACGAGGTTATGTACACAGGGTCCCAGTTACATCCAACAATAAAATGTAAAAGAAAAACAGTAATAACATCTAAGATATGAACTAAGAAAAACATCAACTAAAAATACACTAAAAACATAAAAACAATAAATACAATACGCCAAACAGCAGCACGAACATGAGTCTGTGTGAGCAGATGAGCACGCATGAACACATCAACACGAAACAGATCAGCAGCAACATTGAAACAGATCAGCAGTGACATGAAACAGATCAGCAGCAACATGAAACAGATCAGCAGCAACATTGAAACAGATCAGCAGCAACAT